ACCTTTGTTGGGTAGTTTAGTCGCTATTCTTTCTACTTTACTAACACTTGGCTTTTTTTGTTAGCAGGTGCTGTGGCTGGGTCTTATAATCAAAACTAGCTAATCGGAGATGTGGTACAAGATCACAGTATCACAGGATTATGAATTGGAGAAATACCCTAGCCATGGTGAAAAAAAGTGACAGTAATGTGATTTTACGGAATCTAGCCAATTAGATAGCAAGATCAGGTGTAATGTAAAATTATGCTCTTTTTGTTTTTTTTTGAAAAATCATTGATAACTCGAAATTTTACTTATAAAACTGCCTTCTGCATACTAACAAAAAAAATTTCTCTTGAATTTTGATATAAAATATGTTATACGCTCGCACTAATCCTAACTCTAACGATAAGGTTTATTACTTCGAATCGTACACTTATTTGATTGTTTTGATTTTTGCTGATTGGCCAAAAATCACGTGATTGTCACTTTTTTTCGTCATGGCTAGGCTAGCTGAATTGGGGATAATGATGTTGATTACAAACTAAATTAAGGCGATTTTTAATATATAAGGACTTGTATTACTAATACAATGTCTCTTTCTTTCTAAATACAACAATTGATGTGCAAAAGTCACAGAGGCAAGAATTTACTAATATATCGAATGATTTTTACAAGAAGATATATTGGTGACAAAGACAAATGCTTCTACTCAAATTTTGAAGGTTTTCTTAGAACTTTTTAATTTGAACTCAGGAAGTTACTTTATTCAAGCTACGATTTGAACTCTTTATATACAAGTTTTGTTACTATCTATTGCTTTCTAATATTTCTACTCTATCTATTAAATAGGGTTGATATACTATATCTGCCATATATAGCATATATAGCATATAGGGTATATCTGCTATATATAGTATATATAGCATATCTGGTATATATGGTATATTTGGTAGATATTACTAAGACCAATTTTGGAAGAATTGATCCAAGCCACCTTAGCATCGATTTACCTTTTCACAATGTTTGTTTTGAATTTTCCTGATCATGTTATATTATACAAAATTGTGATCACCTATTGAATAATTTCAGGGACCAACAAAAATTTGGAACCAAATCAATCCAAATATTTTCAAATATTTATACAAAATCTAAATAAATCCAAATTTTTAGAGTTTTTTAGCAATATAGTATCTATAAATAAAATTGTTTTCATTAGTTTAAAATAGCTTTTAACCACGTGAAATAATTAGTTATGAGGCGATGCAAAAATTGCAAAAAATTCAAATCATCATTAGTTATGTGACTTGGTCTAAATTATAAATTAATTTCATAATGCAATTTAAGTAGCCTATTTAAGATCTAAGTAAACATTGAAGTTCTTATTATTTTTTTTAAAAAAAACCAAGTCATGAATACTTTTAGAAAGTAATCTATTTCTTTTATTAGTCAACACATTTCTGGCTATTGAGAATAAATGTTTTGAGAGAATAGAGATAACAGAAATTGCAAGATACTGATAAGCTAATTGTGCAATTAAAGAAAATGTCTTCAAATATAATTGCCATCAGAAAAGTAAATTTTTAGTTTTATACTCTGAACTATCAGAATTATACAATATTATTTGAGGCAGGTCAAATATGTTTAATTCTATATTAATTAGAGAAAACTTTTTAATACTAGTAATACTATTAAATAATGAAGCTAAATTTGAAGTTTGTTTTGCAATTGGCTGGTTATTTAAATATTTGTCCTTATCTAACAATATTTTTATTTTTTGTTTAAGAAATTTTTTTTCTTTGAATTTTTCTAAAGCAAATTTTAGATTTTTAAATCTAGGCTCTAGAATTGCTACCAAATAACCTTTTATTACTGGGTCTTCTTATCAATTAGCTATTTTAAGTTTGATTTTATTTTTAGCATTATGAATGATAAAATGAGTTATTGTTGATTCCATTTTAAACAAGTGTTCTTGAAGAGTCATGATTGTTGGAAGTATAAGAAAATGTAAAGTATATATTATCTCCTATTAAAGATGGGGAACTGTTATTGCCACCTTTTATTTTTGTTAATGCCACCCTCTACATAACTTTAATTAACTTTTAGCCTTTTCAGAAACTCATAAACAATGCTTATCCTAACTGCTAACTAATTAATTATATGAATTCATACTATTTCTAAATACTATTTG